GAGGATGCACAGTTGGTGGCGGTGAGCGTTGTCACTTGGGGATGGACCTTGTGGGTGGGTGGTGCGCAGGCTGCTGATTGGTGACACGTTTGGCTGGCAAGCGGATGCGGGGTTTTTTTTCGAGGCGTCACTTTGGGGGGCGAGGCTGGGTCCGGCAGGCTTCGCCGGGTGCCATCCCATGGGTGGCGGCTTAGAGAGGGTTGAGGACACGCACAACACATCACAGCCCAACACAACACAAAAAAATACCGACACATACACATACACACACACACACACAAACACACACACACACAAATACGGACACACACACAACACACACCCACTCTCACACACACACACACACGCAGACACCCGCGCAAGCGCCAGCGCATCCGTTCGGACACACAAACGATTCGAACTCACACCCTCGCAACCCCCGCCCAAACCCCCGCCGCCAGGCGTCCGCGGAGGCGGTGATGTCACTGCGCGTCAGGCTCGGCCTCGACCCGACGCTGGGGGCGCAGCTGCAGCAGAGGGGCGGCCTCCGCAAGTCGCGCCGCATCAGGTGGGCGTTCTTTTTCCGCCTTCCCGACAACACATCGCCCTTCCAGGCGCCGAAAAGAGGCCTGCTTGCTCAAGGAGTCTCTTCTTATTCGTCGTCTGCCTGTTTGCAAACTAGGTGTTCAGCCGTCGGCAAATGCAGGGCCGGGCATGTGGGGTCGTCCGCCCGTCGCCGCGCGTCGCCGGCGCCGCGCTGGTTCGGTGTTGCCGGGGGCGTTGGGGGATTTACCCGACGCCGCCTGCTGCGACCCCGCCGGCCGCCGCATCCACCGCGCGCCGCCGCCGCAGGGGGCGCTCCGCGGCAGAGGAGGGGGAGGAGGAGTGGGTCGATGAGGATGAGCGCGGTGGGTAACTTTGGGGGCCATTTTTTTGTTCATTTGGCGGTGCTGGGTTGCTGTCAAGATTGTGACCTTGAGGGGGTGTTGAGGGATTGCCTGGTTGTAATGTGTGAAAAGGGGGGCCGGGGGCCGAGTCAGGGCAAAGGGGAGGCGGGCCCGTGGGTGGGCGCGTGGGCGGGGGTGCGGGCACCGGCCCGGCGCGGCGCGG